AGATGTTGGCAACGTTGGGAACTCATAGTACATGCCGTGCGCAAAGTTCATGGCCGAGGCCGTGCAAAAAGCCTGCGCTGGTCGCTGTGGACTCGGACAGCGATGATGCGCCTCTGGCCGATTTCGACCACCCAGCAGAGTGCCCTCAGTTTGCATGAGCCACATGAGCCGCAGGAACGTAATGGTGTTGTAACTATCAGGTACATCCGCGGATCCTCTCCGCGATCCTGCGAGGTTGAACCAGAGGACCTGGATGATACATCTTGTTGGTGTCCGGCCAGCTGGCCGATCTTGGATGTTCTGAAGGAGCCCAGCTATGCACCACTGCTTCCCCTTGACCTGGGGGCGTCTGATGCCCAAGCGTTGCTAGCAGTTAAGCTGCTAGTCAGCTGCTGTCGCTGCTAAGGTTTCCTGAGATAACGCAACTTGAGGCACAGAGGGTTGTGCGTGCAGCTGCGGTTCAGGCACCTGGTAGCATGCCTTGCAAGGAGACACGGGGCAACGCCGAGCGCGAGTGCGTCCCAGAACCCAGCAAGGAAGAGCCGGAGCCTTCAAAACGGGCTTCCGGAGTTTTGGGAAGGTGAGGCATGCGAGGAACTCTAGACTCTACGGCTCTAAGCGCTGTGTGCCTGCACTGAGGCTTTCCATGCCTGAGGCACGGACGCAAGTCCCCTTCTGCAGCAGCTTTGCATAAGCTGCGACAGCTTGGCACAGGAGACCGGAAAGATGGACGGGGTACGGCTCTCACCCGAGGTGCGTTGCTTGCATGACCTCCTGTAGGCTTTTCTTTGTGTGGTGATCCCTGGCAAGGCATCTGTTGAGGAGGTGCCCAAGGCCATTTCGCAGGCCACGGAGAAGCCCAAGATGGATGCTGTCGAGCCGGTGCCAGGAGCTTAGCCTTTTACCTTCAAGGTTCTAGACGACGTTTGCAGTGGCTTTTGAGAACAAGAGAGCTGAGGCCCTGTGAGGAGCCTGCGAAGAGCGTGGACTTAGAGGCGACAGAGAAGCCAAGGGAGGCGGAGGCAGTGGACATTTGGGACTTCCAGGGCTCTCTCCGTTCATGCGAGGGGTCAGCGTTTAGG